GGGAAATGTTGGGGTGGACCAACTTTTGCTTTGTAGTCGAAGAGAATATATTGTGCACATCATTGCATACCATAGGGAGTGGTTTAATTTGGTGTGATTTTGAGGAAAATATGGAATGGAGAGAGGTTAAGGGACTTAATGGACTTTCGGATTCACTTAATTTTATCTCCGTGGCGAATCCAAACGGAGGAAGAAGATTAACAGTTTGGTGGGTTTCGTACCAAAAAGAAGGAGATGGTGTTCTTGTTAGTAAGATTATGATTTGGTGTGAAATTTCGTTTGAGAGACGAAGTAGAGAAGAGCTTTATGGGATTATGGAATGGTCCAAGATCTTATATACTTTGGACCGCAGTGAAACTGGTGGACTCATTTCCCTTTATGTGTTCTGCCACCGTGATGCATTGATCTTGTCTTAGTATTTTGTTTTGTTTTTTTACAAGTTCTTTTTTTACATTTTGATAAATGATCACGCTTATGTTAGTAACAGAGACTTGTTCTGATTTTTGTTTTCTTTTCAATTGGTAAATCAGTCGAGTTTTGTTAGGTTATGATATGATAGTTTCACAATGATGTGAAACTCACGTAGTCTCTATTTTAGCTTTTGCTAACCTTTTTTAACTTTCTTCAATGTGGTAGAGAGAAAAACTGAGAAATATATCTTTCCCATATCTAAAAGTTGTTTTATTGGTATGTATCCAAAAAATATAAATTATTCTAAACCCGATAATTGATTTTTTATAAATAATTCTTTTAAGAGGAAATTTGTAAAAATATTCTAATAATTTTATGTATTTTGAAAAGTAACCTATGTTTTGAAAATTTTGAAAACTAACTTTATTTATATTGGAATTTAAAATATATTCTAAATAAATCAGACCTATAAATTATTTTTAATAATCAAAAACTAATCACATGATTTTAACTTAATGGATGTTAATTTAAAAAAAAAAAAAAGAGACACATGATTTTAGCAATATTGAGAAGGTGACCTAGCTATGATTTTCTCAATTTGACGAAAGTTTTGGTCTTCT